AGTTATAATACTAACAAGTTATTATATTAAGGTGACAAGGAAACTGTTGTACTGTCCGTACAGATATATTTTTATTTTCGGTCACATCTGCATCTGATAAACTCGGTATTCAATTCTATCCATGCTCGGTTTAGGCGCACGCATTTAATGATAACTGGCCTATCAACCTCAATACGGTACCCTGATTAGATACAGAAACTCTTTCGAGCCAGACGCGCTGAAATATTTGTCTTGGATTATTTTACAGTTGGTAAACCAGAAGTTTATCAGCGTGCAATCAGCGTCTGAAAGTGATACTTCGTCTGCTGTCAAACGCAATACAAACAAGTGGATGCCTTCCATTTTACCTTTGCTTGTTTTATGTTTTAATGTACGAACAAACATTGAAATTTTTGGAATTGCAATCTGTTGTAAGATTTTTATATGTATCTTATATATTTTTAACGGAGTCAAATTTTGCAGATTGACAGCTCAGTAAAGTTGATATTATCAAGATGTGATCTCTTTCTACGGTAATATTTCGCTAATTACCCCTGTATTTTTTTCACCGTGTAATGTTTTGACTGAAATATTTATAATTTACTATGATCGCAGACCAGTGAATCTAAAACAAACTCGAATTCATGCTATAATTCAAATAATTATGTTAAAAATAATACAGTAGAAACGATCTGCGATGTCTCAAAACGTGGTCTTCAGATGTGAACGGAACGACGGACTGAATTTCTGAATAAAGTAACCCGCAATGTATTCAACCGCTGGCACATCTTTGATCAAATTTTTTGCATGAATTGAATTTAGTTCTTATTTTGGCTTCAATTTCAAATAAAAATATTTGATTGATCTATGAAAACTGCAGGCAGGCGTTCAATTCCTATCCGTTCAGGCAGGAGTTTTAACGGGGATTTTATAGAGCGCATTTGAATGTATAAGCAACAGATCTGAATTAATTTATCTGAGAAAACCACTCTTCCAAGAACTTCTAGAAAATTCTAGAGAATTTTCAATGCAGACAAAGAAGATGATTGATAGCATTACCTGACAACCGAATAGTGGATCCGGCGTGCTGCTCTTTTGTCGTATGAAAACGGAAAAATAAAAAAATTATCTGTTTGAGAGTCGGTTATTTTTAAGAAGGAAGAAGAATTTGATTCAAAATATTCTACAATATCTTCAAATTCTACATAATTTACGAAGAATTATTACGTATTTACCACAGCCGCTCTCAACCGGTCAGACGCAAAAAATCCGCTTGCAGTTGATGTTGAAACCGACACAAAACTAGCGGGGATCCCGCGATATCTGCCCCGGCAGGACCAAAGATCCTACTAAATAAATAGCGTTTATGATGAGCTCACAACCGCTAATGACATGACTCCTTCAAATGTCTGGCACTTGTGATGTAAATTATTTCTTATTTTAAACAGAACGCATCGATAATTCGTCTTTGTTCCTTCTAACTTGGCAGGTTCAAATGGCTTCAAACGTGTAAGTTTTATTGCATTCAAATGTCCACTATACGCCATTACTGACTTCCAGGCACATAAGGGAAGAGAGGGAGAAAATGAATTGAGGAAAAATATTTAGTTTGAAAATATCCTGTGAAATCGTTCAGCCTTACCCTGAGGTTCAGGGGTAATTGACTGTACGTCCATATGAGATGGTTTTTAGCACCCAACCATCATCAAGAGCTTATAAATGCAAAGCAGACTCTAAAACTTTTATATATACATATAGCCTCTGATTACAGTCTGAGGCGGCCTAAAAGGGATGACTCGAAATTTGTCATCTTTAGCACGTCGTCTGTTTTTGACCAACGTTTCATTGATGTTGGTGCGGACAGAAATTGCGTACTGCAAGAATGTCCCCAGTACGCAATTTGAATAATGAATAACTACCACTCGACTGCTTTAACTGGAATTGAAATAGTTGGAAGGGTATTATCATTTTGGGCTGAATTTCAAGCTGATCGCGAGCATTGCTAGGTTGAATTGTCAACTCCTGTGCCAGGCCACGATCAGTTTTGTCTTTTGTGCTTTTTTGTCTTTTTATCGCATTTTCTCATTTATGGAAAAAATGCACTATTGTGCTCGCCATGTCCGTCTGTCTGTCAGTCTGTCCGTCCGTCTGTCCGTCCGTCCGTGACCTCAAGTTTTCGTCGACGAGAAAATGCGCTCTCTGTCACTCACTGCAGTGAGTACTGAGTTATATTTTTCTGCTTTTGTGCGTTTCTTGGGAGTTTCTGCGCGCATTACGAGGCGCAAGTCTGCCTTTCTAAAAAAACAGTAAAATTTAAATAAAAAATATAACTCAGTACTCACTGCAGTGAGTGACAGAGAGCGCATTTTCTCGTCGACGAAAACTTTTGGTCACGGACGGACGGACAGACGGACTGACAGACAGAGAGATAGAAGGACATGGCGAGCACAATAGTGCATTTTTCCATAAATGAGAAAATGCGCTAAAAACCAGATTTGAAATACATTATTTTCATACTCAGCCAACATTAGCATTAGCAATCCTAGAATACTCACAAAGATGTTATTTCTTCCATCATTACTCACTGGCGAAAACAAATAGTATAGATTTATTTTTTGGGCCTGAAAATCCAAAACTAATATCCGTTGTTACTTCATTTCTCTGTTATAATATGCATTGTTATTGAATGACAAGACATTCCATACGCGTTCATATATTTACTTATTCAAATCGTGAATGCGCAATTGTTTCTGACTCAGAATTTAGGTGCTACAAACAACCAACAGATCAGGAACTTAGGATTATCCCACTTACAGGGGCTTTAGTAAGGACTCAGGCGTAGTTATTTATGGTGAGTCGCAAGCTTGTCGAGCAATTGCACAAAGCAGTAAGAGCAAACCTGGTGACGTCGTAAGCCCATTCTCCTCTAACTAACTAGCAATTCTTGATTAAACCTCATTGACGCATACTATACAGCTCCATCCAAACAGTAACCGCAAGCCTGAATAAAATATTGTATTACATTGGAATTCTGAGTTTATTGAAAAGTTGTTGAAATTGTTGAAAAAGTACGTTGAATAAACTTTACTATATTACATCTATCCTCCTATATCCTTCTATCCTTCCTTCCTCTTCTATCTCTTCTGTTAATTAATGAGAAATTCGATCCATGCTTGGTTTAGGCGCTGAAATTAGCCCAGGAAATTGAAGACTGAAGACTTGGCACAGTGCATCGAGTCTCAACGTCAGCTGAACTTGATGAGCCTCTCAACATGAAAGAAGGAGCGACATTAGCCTACTTTGAAGAAGCCTTCGTCCTTGTGACACGAAACATGCCTGGGTCTAGCAGCTTAATGGCTACATCTCAAGGATCGCTAATGTAATATATCCCTAAAATTAGGCTGGAAACTCCTAAAACTAAACTGAAAATTAATACTCAAATCACGTCAACTTGTTCCCAGAAAAAAAAACAAGAATACATTTTTGTTTAAATGCTCCTTATGAAAATGAGATTTAAAATTTGACAAATAATTTATAAGTACTTAATAAAATCGAGCGAATTGTTTTAAAACTATTTTTTACTCTTTTACTACTTTTTGTTTTGACTCCATTTATGGGTCGTCATTTACGCTGATGACGGATATGGAAACTTCATGTCGACGATGTCATTAAAAATGGCAAATTACCTCTTCACTTTTCTTTGTATTTAACTCGATGAATGTTTGCTCGACCTGGTTGCATCATTATCATTTATTTTCGTTGATTAATTATTCACTATTATCCTGACGTTCAAAAATGACTAATGGACACCATATAATAATGCATTTGAGAATTGCATCTTTCATCAACAGTGTTGCCAATTTTTGATGCCAATTTTTGATGCCAATTTTTGATGCCAATTGAGCTTTTATTTTGAAAACTGGCATCAAAAATCTCATTCTTGAAAATGTCGTTTGAAGACCATGCAGAGCACAGGAGCGTTGGATACCGAGTTTCAACTACGCCTTCTATTAATAAAACCTTATTGCTAACTGTCTTACTCGAGAGCCAGCATGACTGGGCCATTAAAGAAATTAATGTTAGTGCATTCCCTTCATCCTTCCCACCGAACTCAAGTCATGATAGATTGGCGTCAGGCTTCTCGTTCCTTATAACCAGGCTTCTTTGAAAAATGTCCTGACGACATTCGAGGCATTTCCTACTACGTGAAATCTTCACTGTCGTGGGCTTGATGAAATTTTGTTCCACCAATCGCGATGTTGAATTACGTTCTTGTACGAGATCAGGTGAAAACGAGGCTACCACTGTGGTTGGATCACAACCTGCAGATTTTCGCTGTGAAATATGTTGCTCGCACATCTGCTTACCTGCGGTGACAAATTATTGACAAATAATTTAGCATTAAAGTAATTCATTAATTGAACATGATTCATTATAAACATGGATTTAATACTTCAACTATTATAAAAACTTCCTATTTAACAGAGGTTCTCTCTCAATCGATGGCTCGCCTCAATTTTTCGCCCTTCGCCGCCCGCGTGGGAAAGCCTCCAGCTTGCGGGCTCATCTATCATCTTTCTAGGTTGGGAAGCTGATTAACATCATGTGACTGATTAACATCATGTGACTGATTAACATCATGTGACTGATTGACGTCAACTATGTCTGTTCCGGATATAAGCTGGTCGTAATTCAGCCTATGGCTTGTTCTTAATTACATGGCGTGAATGTCAGAATATGAAGTCGAAGGTTCTCATGTTTCAAACTCGCATTATATTTTTGAATTTACAGACGAAATTTCTTTCAACGTGAATGTAATTTGTAAAAGATTGGCGTTACTTTTAATTCATTGCATTTGATGCGTAGCTCATAACCGCTCAGATCGAGTGATTCATATTCTTATCTTGCCACCTGAAAACCATCATGTGCCATCGTGAGATAAGACAGATAAAGACCGATAAGGCTGCAACGCGCAACATATAAAAGCCACAGATCCCAGGGCTCAATATCAAATTCTCACTAGAATATTCTCAACCGAGGTGCATTCAAAGTTACTGCTCGAAAATCTGAACTTACAATCCATCACAATGCGTTTATGTATTTTAGCGTTGACGTTTACTTACGTGAGTATTATCTCAATAATTTAATTTCTATTAAATAATATTTAATTAAACCGCTTCAATCTGCTATATTATATTTTAAAAATTTATCCGCTCTTTTAATAACAGCTAAGCCATGACGCCATGGATTGCGGTTAATGTCTTGTGAAATTTGTTCATTGAGCGATACACGAACTGAATTCGGTGTATGAAATTCATTGATGGATGTATGATTGTGTGGTGGATGTTACAATGGGTGATTCATTGCCTCAAATTTTTAACTTGTTAAATTTTAGAAATATCACAACGGCTGCTAAGACTGCATGGCAATTCCAAATTAAGCCACATGTCATTTATGACCTTGAATTAGCCTCACGTTTTGATACAGTTTTTAGGTAGCTACTGATAAAAAAACAAAGGCCGATCAATCAAACCAAAACTAATTCAATTATGAGTGATTCTTGATAATCACAGCGTGCATGTTATCTTTATGGCAGTCAAGAACTGTCTCTGGCAATTTCAGACATTTTAAAATATTTTCTCGCTTCTTATCACTAACATTATACGTGTTAATATTGGAGCGATACTTTATCGAACAGAATAACAGAGCTGCCACTCAGTTCCATTGTCATTTAGATAATCGGTTGACATAATAAACCTTTCTAAACTAAGACACGAAAATTTGCAAACGGAGGTTATTGTGCATAATGTGCTCATAATTCATTTTCGATATATGTTTCATTACGCCAGGATTGTTATATTGATCATTTATCAATTCCCCGCGGAATATTTACGTCTAATTCATTCGCAAACTATTGTACTTGAAATGTGAGCGCATAAAAATTAATTGCAACAGATAATTTCTCAATGCTATAGACAGAGATAAGGCCGGGGTATGCTTCTGACACCATAATTCTTCTACCCAATTATAAAAGGAAAACTCAATGGTAATATTCTGGTATTAAATTTAGCTGCCCAACATTACTTATTATTATTTATTTAATTTTCGCTGCTTTTAACGCCCCTTGCTTGCCGTACAGGTGTGTGGGGCAGCGCTCCTGCCTGTGCCCCCCGACCGAGCATCGGTGTTCCGAGGCAAGGCGGTCCCTGTCGGTCACTTCCCGAGAACCCTTCCAGCCAAGCTTGAACCCATGCCTGAACCTAAACTTGAAAATAAACTTGAACCTATAATTGAGCCCAAACGTGATACAAAACTTGGAGCTGAGGGCAAGTTGTTGGAAGAAATCAAGACTGATTCTAAGGTAGAGTTGTGGCCTCAGCAAGCCAGCGAAAGTAAAATAGAGCAGTTGTCCGTTGATGAATCTGATTCCAACGTTGAATTGCAGTCAGAAAATGTGATTGAAGAGGGAAAAGAGCAGCTGCCTGTTAATGAAATTGACTCTGTAATAGAATCACAGCCTGACCAAACAATTGAAGCGCAAGAATCTGACAGTGAGCTGCTGTCGGTTGATAAAGTAAAGACAATTGATGTGAAAAATTCTGAAAATTCGTTGCAATCGGAGGAAGAGTCAAGCTCTGGGAAGGAATCTGATGAGGAGTCACTATCAAAAAATATTTCTGAGCAGGAGTTGCAATTGGAAAATGAATCTGTGGAGGAATCGCTATTGGGAAATGAATCTGTAGAAGAATCGCAGTCAGAAAACGAATCGGAGGTAGAATCGCTATCTAAAAATGACTCGCAGGTGGAATCGCAATCTGAAAACGACTCGGAGGTAGGATCGCAATCTGAAAATAAACCTGCGGTAGAATCGGAATCTGAAAATGAATCTGAGGAATCAGGAGAGTCCAATACAGACTCCCAGTCTGATGGCAACAACGAGCACGCGGATGAGTCTAAAGACAAAACATTTTCAGCGTCAGAGTCAGACGAAAAACAACATAAAAGCCTGAGATTCGTTGAGAAAATTGCTGAGAAAATCCAAACTCATAAGAACGCCGCTGAGAAGGATGCTGATAAGACGGCCCTGGTGGACGACGGCGAAGAAGGAGTAGACCAAGAGGACGAAGATGGAGTAGACCAAGAGAACGACCGAAATGCAAGTGATGACGAGGAGGGAAGTGATAGTGACGATGAAGAGAGGGAGGAGAGTGAAGCTAATAGCGACGATGAAAGCGATGATGAAGAAGATTGAACGACTTAAAATTCAGAAATCCCATTATTTGCGAGTATTCTTTTGATAAAATAAAACTCTCGTTATGTGTCATGTTCTGGGCGGCTAGAACTAATGAGTAACAGTAAATGTTTAACGCATATAGAGCAGTAATTACTTTTACTTGCCTTGTGTTTTCTTGAACCCGACTTTTTTTATAAATGGCGCAGTGTGTGTTGTGTGCACTTATATAGTCTTACTTTTGTGTTCTTTTTTGACGCTCATGGTCATTACACTATATATTTGATTATAGCATAGCCTGATTGATGGAAAATTGATCTTGTTGTATTAAATATGAAAAATGTCATTCATTTGTTTAACTATATCAAGTTCACTGAATCTTGCACTCAAGAAAATTTCCTGAGAGCCGACAGGGATTCTATAACTCAATCATAACTTCACTCACCCCAGATATTGAAATAGTGTAACTGAATATTCCAGCACGATCAAATTTGCACATCTCATTGATGGGTATAGAGGATTGCGTTATCATGTAAATGTATGTATCTTTCTTCAAACAATCTCTGAGCTTTTCAGAGATAGTTTTTTAGCCTTATTCCCTCTTTCCAAAATAAATAAATTGTCTATAATTTTTTATTTAAAATTCGTTTACAACTTTAATTTTCGCTTAAAATTCAACCTAACTATTATTTAACGCTATGTGAAACTAATTTAATGACACAAAAGTAAGCCTCAACATGACACTTGTAAATGCCCTTGCCATGATATTTTCTTTATCGACTCTGATTCAGCTTTTCGAAAGTCATGGATTCAAAAGTAAAACTAGCTTCACAACTCATTTGAAAGTTGTAACAAAAGCTTACTAGAACAAACCCTTGATTAGGGGCGAAACCAGGAACGCAATCTAAATTCCCGAAACTTTCTCTGGAATTTAATTTAATTTCAACAGAAAAAAAGCATGCAAATCTTCCTTGTTTGACAACATCTAGTAACAACAATTAATTTCGTTGCCATAACACAACGAACTAATAAATGCACGTTGACTTCTATTAACGAACGTGTCCGTTCCCGAAGCATTTCACTCTGATTGGCCGAAGAAAAAAAAACAGAGAATATTGAGTTCATGCACTATGAAATTTGCATTTCAATAAAGGCTTTAAAACGTGTCTTGCATATATATCAGTAGCAAAGTTTATAGAGCGACTGCATTGGTTGTGGGCGTCGTTAGATTGTGAATGGAGAGATCTGAATATCAAGTTTCCACCGTAGTCTAGATGATTTATTTAAAGAACAACATAGAAACAAATTGTTGTCGAAGTAATTGAATGGAAGGGTTTGCGTTCATTCCTTAGAGTGAAATAAAGCGAATTAATTAATAGTTTCTTCGTGCAAAATAATTTAAAACTAAAAATATATATTAAAAATTTTTTACTGCTTTTGTTTTGCATATTTATTTGGCTTCTCGCTAAGCTGTTGGGATTTTATCATATTCAGATATTAAAAAAATATAATTCAATGCCCTATACATTTTCCTCTCCCAGTATAAGACTGTTAAACTTGGAGGTGAAGGTAACTCTTGATGTATTCAGATTATTTATGTTACCCATCGAGTCCGATCTATGCAAATTGTTTGTATGCAAATATGGCGTCAAATTATTATTTCTAAAACGTCTACATTTCCCACCTTATTGCTAGTTTCACTAAAGTTTAAATAATACTTTTATCTCAATTTGTACTCGAGTTAAGTTAACTATAATATACAGTTTAAATAGTCACATCATATGTGAGCAAAGTTGGCTTTCGCTCTAATGTTAAAAATCTGGACTTGGTAGCTGTTTAGTAAATTTGGGCTTAGATAATACAATTTGGCACAAAAAAATGCGATGTTACATTGATAATATGAGGCATTACCTTTAATACTTCATACAAATCATGAACAATATTTTAGCCAACATTCTGAAACGCTGCTTTTAAAATCGGAAGATTTGGGCGCGCCGCTAATGTTCAGCTGTTGGCGCATTGTGCTCATGAGCTAATTATTGCGCATTGATTTATTTATTTACGCATTTTGAGCCGTCGAGTCTGATAAAGTTATTTTAAACTTTGATCAAATTTATGTAATAAGTTACGATAGCTTGTTTACTTAATTCAAATCTTGGAGATAAGTATTCGTGACTTATCGAGGCCTGAGTTAATTGCGCTTCTGTTGCAGAATTTTATTGTTTTCCATTAAATTCTTCTCTATAGAATGAACTACTTCGAAACTGTGGATAATTGAATGTTTAGCATCTGCGCATGAGCCTTACAAAACGCAGCGGATAATTGAACGTTTAGTCTCATTGAATATTTTTTACAAAACTCTACTGGATTTATTTCATAATGTCTATTCCGATGTATATAAGAATAATAATTATAAGCAATAATTTTTGCAAGACAAAACGAGAAATGTAAAAATATTTGCTTCCATAAAATTTCACGCATATACAATATGATGTCAAAGTACGGGAGATGTGAACGTAAATTTTAGCTCATTTTCAGGAAGAATGTGTCCACGAGATCTCATTTCCGGATAAAATCACTGCGCGCCATAAATATCTTTCCTAAATTTAATTATTTTGTGATAAAAGAAAACTCAGTCTGCAAGAGAACTGACAATTTGCCTCGTGGGGAAACTTTATCTCAGTACCCGATCAGCTAGCGGGTGTGGGTGCTGACTCTTGCTTTGAAGGTCGCCTCGGGTGCCGCTGCTGCTGCTGCCATTTTATGGGGGAAACAGTTAAGTTTTTATTGAAGGAAAACAGTAGAGGAAACGGGGAAACCCTTTCCCTTCTCGAAGAGAATTAGTAACGAGAATGGAAGTGAACCTTGCGAGTTTACACAAGTCATAGCAGTTTATTGAAATGGTTGAAGGAGAACAATGAGGATTAGAATACTCATAAATTTTCATTGTAATGAATGAATTTTCGTGATAAATCTCATCAAAATTTCAATTTTTTCTTTACTCTAGGAACAAATTTCATAACGAGAATGGAAGTAAAACTTATGAGCTTGAAGAAGACTCTTGTATATTGTATAACGGTTTATTGAAATATTGATAGCAGAACAATTAGGATTGGAATACGTTTAAATTTCCTGATTTTGAGTTCCTAAATTCCAATATTTCAGCTCCATGAGACAATCTATATCCAAATTTTTCTTGACATTTGTATTATTTTCGTCAAATAGGTTTCAGCTAATTTTTTTTTTTTTTGTGTTCCAAAGGATGAATGTTTTTTTTTTTCATCAAATTACTGATTCCTCTCCCTCTCCTGTTGATATCATATCTATCCGTTTGAATTGCGACACGATATGTTTGGCAAATATATAACTTCAATTCTTTACAAAAGTAAAATCCAAACCTTGCGTCACTGCGAGCATCCACATTTCTTAATCCGCCTTCTTCTTCCCCCTTAATATATTTTTTTTAGTTCAATGGCAGCGGTGCTGCTCCCGGGCAGAACGCTCCAACATCTTCATCACGTATTTGTTCTGCGCCACGTGATAACTTTGATGTTACATGCAATAATTGATATTATACTTACCATATTTGGCAGGTTATGGCTATGCCTAATTAACTACCCTCATGAGGGCTGCGCCAAACTACCCTCATAATTAGTGGGGCGTTCTTGGACTGATCAAGTTGTCATCCTAGCATGTTTCATCACATACTGAGAGGATGAATTCTTTTGGAATAATAATTTTTATCTGCCTTCAATTTGTAAAAGTTGTTCTGCCTAAAAACATTTTGCTGTATTTTTTTGTACAATTTCGGTGTTCGCGGAAAACCAATTTACTGAGTAATCGTTACTGAAAATTCAATCCGAGCTACTGCAGCTTTGCTAAGAATCCAATCAACGACAAATTATTTTTCATTGATCAATATATATAATTTTAAACGAATAATAACAACTAATTTTAACAAAAGCCATTGAAAATTAGATTGCGGTTGAAAATATATATCTTAAGGCAGCTTAAAAGAGGCGATATCAACATAAATAATCTCAAATAATATCTTTATAACAGACAACTAGTAATTCTAAAACATAAATGTAATAAATTCTTGAAAAAAATACCTAAATAAAAATTGAAACTTTTATAAAGAAAAATGATGAATCATTCCTGTTGATAATAGATTCTAAAACGCTCTTCATACAAGTTTCATATTTGAAAGCAGCATGTTTCCCCAACAAGTCAATTGGGATTTTAGAAATCAAAGCAATTCCAGCCTTATTGACAACCGCTTCAAATCTTTTATTGGTTGTCAAAGTTTATGTGTTTGTTTATTTGCCTGTTTGAAACCTGGCGTCGCAACACATAAAGGCTGTTGGGGGCGAGTATCCAGGATACCTATCGCGTCCGGATATTAACTGGACCTGAAAATTTAGTCTTAGTGGGAGAATTGGAAAGGATTGAAGGAACGGGAGGAAAGGTTTGGATCAAAAATTCAATTTGATTTGTAGACAGGTATATGTACATTTAATTTGAAAGGTGAACACAAGTATTTTTTAAGTTTTGACACCTGAGTCGATTGGGAGTTCAATGTAAAATGCTTGCTTGAACGAGTCTTTCTTTAATTTGCATACATTATAATGTCTTGTTATTATTAACGGTTAAACTGCAAGAATTATCTAAAACTTCCAAAATTATCGATCGTAGCAACGACTGACTAACCTGATAATTTATGTGAAAATTTAAAGCTCCGTTAAAATTTCGTGTCGTGTGAAGAATTTCCGAACGAAACTATCTCCTAAACACCAATTTATTGTTACGTGAGGCTTGCTTGAATTTCCGACACGCTTAATATGATCTAATGAGTTAATAATGACGTCGGACGAGGCTGGATAAATCTAGCGGCTGGGACAAGTGCAGACTAATTGCCCTAATGATAAGGAAGGAAATTTCTGTCTTTCAAGATTTAAAGACATCAATTTACCATTATTGTATCACATAGTATGACTTTGATTATATGATCTAATGAGTTAATAATGACGTCGGACGAGGCTGCATAAATCTAGCGGCAGGGACAAATGCAGACTAATTGCCCCAAATTAATTCTGCGGAGCTGCATTGCAGTTAATTAATTGAGTTGCCATTGCATACACTTAGCATACATCGCACGTGAGAGTTTTGACCGCGTGGGAAATCGTGCGAGGAGTTACTAATGTTCATACATCAGGGATTCAGCGTTCAACTTAGATTATAATAAGAAAAATTTTGTTTGGACATTCATTTACTTTACCTTTTCACGCTACAGGCATTGAAGTGCGGGGAATATCCAAATTCCTGGCGACTGGATCGCAAATGCTC